TTTTGAATAAAATTTTTTAATTGTTTTTCTTCTGGCAGAATTTCGTTATATGATAAAAGAAAATTTCTGACCAAAATTTATCCATATCAAAAGGGGTCAATTCCAACTGTAGGTCAATTTGACATGGAATGACCCAACTATATTTTATTATTAAGTCGCCACAACAATAGTAATCCTGTTGCTACAACAGGACTTTATCCTGTTGCTGCAACATGGCTGCCTCATGTTGCAGCTACAGGAAAATCCTGTTGCTGTAACAGGATTTTTTCCTGTTGCTGCAACATGACTGCCTCCTGTTGCAGCAACAGTTTATTTTTTTCCGTGTATTGGTAATTAAATTATTTTACTGTAATTAATGTCAATGAAAAAAATTTATTTAAATTAACTAATTAAGTGTTTGACTGTAGGCTGGGGATTAGTGAAGTATTCTTAATTTAAAAGTTTAAGTTGAGCTGCACATTGAGTAGCATCAACACATGTTAGGTAAATTTTTTGTTCGAGTAAAAAATGAAATATCAGTGTGTCATCTGAAGACATTAAGAAATGAGCGTAAAGGAATGAAGGAAGAGGAAACTAGAGAATGTTGTTAGTGTATAAGTGGTAGCAACGTGTTGGCAATATGCGGTCCAAACGGAACCCACATCCGTATCGCATTATTCAAGCACTCGGAACTGTGAATTAGTTCAAGATCATCATCTCCAACACCATCAATTCACCCATTACCATAACCACCACTAGCGTTTTGAAAAAAAAAAAACTATGCATACATAATCCGCCTAACATGCATCAAAGGGACAATTTATAAATTCAAGCATTTTAAAAGACAGCTGACGTGTCTGTAGTGTCCAAAATGATTGATCAACTCAGAAATGTGCCGACATTATACTTAATGTCCCCCTGACAGTTAACATCCCCGTGTGTACAACTTTGTTTCACATTCGTCTACAGTATGATAACTGTCATACAAACGTATCATCATTATCATAACCATAACCATGAGTATGATCATCAAAAACACCCTAAGAAATAAAAGCAAACTCTATTTGCAAGAAAAAGAAGAAGAAAATAAAGAAGAATGAAGAAGACGATGAAAAAAATGGCATTTTAACACTATCCCATGAGAGCAGACAATCGAAGAGATCTTTGGACAAGTTTAATGTCTCGTCTCAACCTGACACTATATAACTGACTCTCGAATATTTAAAATGACTGTAAATCCTATATCTCCACATACAATCTCATCAGAAGGATCTTTCGAGCACATTGGTTCGGATACCTGCGGATACATCTCCCGCGGTGCTCTGGCGTGTCCACCCTCAATGGCAACCCTCGGCTCGCCGATACGAGTCATTCCTATCCCGGTATCCCGTACACGTATACGTACTCGAGAATCTTCAGAGCCCGATCACCAGAAGCGATCGGTTCCAAAGTAGACCAAAAGATCCCCTTTATCTCTCTGAAAGATCAACTCCTCGGCATTGGAGATTCGAGGACGGAAGAATCGAGGATCGAGACAGAGAGATGTAGATGGACGAGACAAGTTTAAGCTTCAGGGGACTCTGATTCCCCGGTACTCCAGTGTATCACATACATACTTCGTATATACTCGCTCACTGTCTGCACGGATATTAAAACCTTCTTCGTTTTAAATATTCACCCGAGGTTTATGCTAATGTTATCAAATGTTTTATTCCGAGATATTTCTCCGGAGTTACGGGCAATAATTGTGATGTACGTTTTATTTTAGATGACTCAACAGGTGGCGCTTAGTCCTATTGGCTGTTCGTCTCACTCTCATCATCTTCTCTATCCTCTACCATATCTGTACTATTTATATTTATACATTACTCACAATAATAACATAATTCAAGAACCGTAACCAGTAGCATTTACATGACGCGTCTTGCTGCCTCTACATTCTTACACAATAATACTAGCTCCGGATTGACAGCATGCAAATTGAATATTAACACCCGTTACGTTTATCACTAAGACGTTACAATAGTCTACACAAAGACTATTGTCTTATAGAGAAGGTACATACGACCTGTGCCCCTACGTCTCATAAACATCAGAGTGTATATCCAGAGAGTGGCTGCATTACGCTCACGTTAATTCTTTCATGATTTCGCTTTAGCATCAGCGCATCAGGGCATAGAAGAAGAAGAACATTATATTATAACGTACGGAGTGTATATAATGCTACTTCACCCTCTACCCACGCATCTGCGGTTAATAATATGTATGTCCTGTATTCCTGATGCTGGATCTGGAAAGACGTACTATGAACTGCAGAGTATTAGTGTGATATGCTTGACGAATTGAATACGTTATGCATCAGCCGAGCTGTCATATTCCAACGAAACATTTTGCACCCGCGCCCTCTTACTGTTCCCCATCAAACTCTTGCTCATGCTCACGTTTACCAGTTAGCATTAAACAATATAGGTGTGAGCATAAAGCGTGGGTTTGCTGATGCAGGAATAATCCTTCAAAAGCTTCGTCAACAGATCTCAAATTCAAACTTTGACTACGACTGATATGATG